TGTCTGATTATGATGTTTTAGACACAGTTTAGAATGCATTTTGTAATATCTCCGAGTAAATAACAATTGTTAATAAGACATAACCTACAGATTTTTTTTTCGCGGGGTCACCTGACCAGTCACTTTATAATTGTTCTATCCTGCCCCCTGTAATAAATAATTGCCCACCCCTGACATATGAGATCACAACAATCTTATACAATATGAATTCTATTACCAACCAACTAAATCATAAAAAACTATACAGATATTTTATGTATAGGCCTAATCGTCTACAATGCATAATTCACAGAAATAATCTTATTCTTTAAGAGGGTTGCAAATGTACAACACAGGGGTTAGAGGAGAGGACGCACGATATGAAAAATATTTATAAGGTACATGAGTCATGATGAACCAGTGAGGCTGATGTGAACAGAGAAGATCCAGGCACATTAATATTTATGTAGCAATTATAAGAATGAAGACTAAAATACTTTAAAGCCGAGTACACCTACCCAGTTTCGTGATATACTCGTGACTAGGGCACTGCGCAAAAATTGGCTGAACTTACGCACATCTGTTCCACATTTAGAATTTACGGTTCCATAAATGGAGAATTGTTAAAACTGTGGAAAACCTATCTAATATAATGGAAAATTCTGAGTGCAATACCACAGAACTTGGGTAGGTGACCCCCAACGTCGACATTTTGTACAAATCAGCGCCACCCACCATTTCGTAACCTGAAACGTGTTCCATTCCCTATACAATATTTCTACACACGTGTTTCCCTTACAGTGAAATCTCCTAATTACAGAATAAATAAAATGGCGATGGAATAAAATGTTATGAGACAGCAGGAGTTGTCTGTAGTCTAGCTGCAACTGTCGGTACAGCTGCCATGAGCCATCAGTACTGGGTCCCACATGAGTAGTTTCCCCTGGTTTCTTGTCGGTCAGCAGACGCGAATAGTGTTAATTATTTACGTGTGTCATCGTGTATCTTCTTCATTACATCACATCGCGTACCTTAAGATCCCGAAATGTCTAAATTGCGCCTTCCCAAAGAATGAAAATGCATTTAATATCAATTCAGTCTGTACCTCAGAGGAAACACACTATGTCTCGCTACAAAGACCAACCTCTTAATGCTCTTTAGGGAAACAGTCGATATTTATTACGAGAATCATACGGAACACACAAATACACTGTGTGGGCGGAATATATAGCAATTCAGTGTGTACCTCACAGGAAACACCTTACGTCTCCGTTACAAAGCCCAACCGGTTAACGCTGTTTAGGGAAACAGTCGCTGTTTATTGTGAGAACCATACGGAACACACAGATACATTGTGTGGGCAGAATATATAGCAATTCAGTCCGTTCCTCACAGGAAACACATTACGTCTCCGCTACAGAGCCCAACCGGTTAATGCTGTTTAGGGTAACAGTCGCTGTTTACTGTGAGAACCATACGGATCACACAGATACACTGCGTGGGCAGAATATACAGCAATTCAGTGTGTATCTCACATGAAACACATTACGTCTCCGCTACAGAGCCCAACCAGCTAATGCTGTTTAGGGAAACAGTCGCTGTTTACTGTGAGAACCATACGGAACATATAGATACAGAAAGAGTGAGAAGAAAAATAAGTGGGAGTGGTAGTGTGAGACACTATATTTGGGGAGGGGGGGAGGTAAGAAACTATGTCTCCGATTTTGAAGGTTCCCAGGCAGTGCCCGCTTGTCCTATTACCCCGGCACCTCCATGGAGGGACTGAAGATAACTACGAAAAATCTCAATCTGGGTAGTAGTCCCGGTCAATGTTCTAACTAGAGGTCAGGGGAGTTACAGTTTCGGCTAACTTTCTCGGTCTCCATCTTGAAGACCGAGGCAGTACGGCAGTACGAAACACTGGTACCCATCTATCAGACCACATTCTCACCGCTGTGAGAACCTCAGGCAAGTTTTATGTAGCAAAACACAAATGGAACGCGAAAAGTTCAAGAAGGGGAACTGTTCAAGGTTGGTTCCGTAGAACCGGAACCCTTGTACTGGAACACGGATACCTGCAGACATGCGCACTCACAAATGTGAGTACCTCAAAACAGTGCGTTGGTAATATTCTCCTCCTTCAGGGAGAAAATGGGTGGGGGGTGGGGTCTAATTCATCGACACTAAGCACTGACAAGCCACAGGCAGTTCATCGCAGTTTGTGGCAGACGTAAAGCGGCAATGTCTCCGCAGATATTACATGAAATATGACGTATATAATTTGTACACTGTATTGATATTTGCCAACGTTCGCGCTTGTAATTATCTCTTTTATACCGAATAGTGGATTTACGTAGATCTATTAATTACGACAGGTAACATTTTGGTCCGACATATTCTACCTCTGACAGAAAGTCCAAATTCACTCACAGGATTTGCGGCTTTTGACTTTCTTCGTTGCTTATTTTACGACACTGGCAGCAGCTGGAGTATGTATATGATGCGATGCCAGATTTATAATTAACTGGGACAGATTTACAATGAAGTGGTCGTGGCAAATCTATGTTCTAACCTGGTAACTGCATGGAGAGACTTAGGAAAACCATGTAAGATCTCAATCAGGATAGGTGATACCTAGGCTGAATAGAAATCAAAATCTTTACCGCTAAGCCAACCCGTTCGTGAAAGTATACACCTCAAAGGAACCAAACCTTACTTGAAGGGGCCATGGCATACACGTATGTTGATATTTGTACTTCCTTACACCAGGCTGCGCTGCTAACAAGTTAGGAATTGTACGCTTGCTTCCTTTTAATTACCTCGAGATCAGAGACTCGCGGAAGTTCGCGAAACTTAAAATGTGTGCTTCATTTTGTTACGCAATTTTTGCTCGAAACATTTTTCCCTTCGACATGAATATTTGATGACTTCCGCTCGAATTGTGAGATAGATCCTGGAGCACGGGAAGCGAAAGCACCAACTTCACGTTACGCTGTTCCTATGAAATACGTCACGAAACACTTTACATAATTAAAACAAAGAAAACGTAAGGCATGAAAACAATGTCACAGATTAAATAAAAAAAATAATAATTTTCTCCATTAGAAATATTAATTTTAAGTTTACATATCATGTAAAAATTAAAATAATGTGTCCATACTAAGATAAACATTACACACGGTAAAGCCAAGAGAAGCATACAAAAACCTGACTTGGAAATTACATATCGGTCATTTCGTTCTGTTCCGCTTCTATGTATACAGCGGCAGTTCTGAACAAACGCCACCCGGGGTAAAAACATACAAAGCAAATAACTGTGTTCCTCTTATGAATGTAGAGCATTCTTGCCTGCTCTGGAAGTGGAGAACCAGTTCTTCACTCGAGAGGCGGCTACTTTCCTTGTCACCATCACATTCCAATTGAGAAATTACAGTTCACTCATGTAATTACAAATTATTGTGAATTAGGACTAAAATGGCAACCCCAAACTCTACCACAATACCCGCACGTCATTTTAACTGCCCTTTCTGCCGCACATATTGGTAAGAGAACAATTAATTCTATAATATCTTTGGGTGTTCTCTGTTAGGTCCGCGGCAGGAAATACGAAACAGAAAGAGTTACTTAAAAGTGTGGCGGGGGGCCATAAACCAATGAAAACTCTTACAGAATGCAGCTGGGTCAATATAAACACTAAAATAAATTCTACATGAACAGACTCGTTTACAGAGGGAGGTTCAAAGTCTGGAAGAGATCTTCTGATTGCTTTTGTTTGTCTGTGCATGGCGCAGCTTCTGGTAAGCCTTTCTTCTGGTCGCTTCTGGCGTTCCGTCAGTTTCCTGAGAGTTGCTGACGGTCTTGGTGAACTCAGTGATTCATCATTCCCGACTGCGAGAATAACAAATCTGAGAGAAACATCACGGAGGAACTGACAGAAATAACCGCACGACACAAACACCTGATTTCGTGACAAATTTTGGTTATTGTCACACGAAATATTATGAGTTACGAAATTGGGCAGCTTTTCTTATTTGCATAAGGGACAATGGGATAATATCCGCAGCTGTACAGGCTCAAGGTAACAACATAAACATGTACACGAGATCATAGCTCAGTGTCGACATCTATAAGCTAATAATTAGAACTCAGCGTGGAAAGTTACCGTTCCATAGTACACTTGCCTAGTAAATACACAAATTGCGATGCAGTTCCCAGCAAAATGTGTGGCTTCATTACCAACTGAAAATTTAAGAAAAAAAAAATCGTCTTGTGATAGACTTGAAGATGTTACTTATCATATTGCGACGTGTGTAAAAATCATATAAATTTGTCCGATTTCTTCCCCAGATACCATTCTCTATAAACATCGCCTTCCTTTATGGCAAACATAGGCCATTTATCCACTGTATGCATGTATTTAACCCTTTGAAGTATGACTCCCATTTAAATAATACAGAATTCAGACATGACGTGCTGGGGGATGGCAGATACAATGATCACTGTCTTCTGGGATGTCACTCCGTTAAGTGCTATATCGTCAACACAGTTTCGAAGGGAACTGCTGCTTCCATCTTCAGGATAGAACAGTAAACCGAGCATGGATCAGTTATTATTTCTCCTCACTCTTCTCAGAGCCATGATTTTTCTCTATTCATCCTGCTCTGTCTCTTAATGGGCCAACATAAAAAACTTCATTCCTTGCTCCTATTGGTTTGCTCTGAGACCCCTGACCAGCCAGCCCTCACCATGCACCGTACGCTCAGCGTACTTCTGCACCGCGAACATGGAGGCAGCAGGTTCCTTCGAATTCCAGATGACAGTAATCTTCATTTAAAAATTCGGTCCGTACCTCACAGGAAACACATTACGTCTCCACTACAGAGCCCAACCGGTTAATGCTGTTTATTGTGAGAACCATAGGGAACATACAGATACACTGTGGGGGCAGAATATATAGCAATTCAGTCCGTACCTCACAGGAAACACATTACGTCTCCGCTACAAAGCCCAACCGGTTAATGCTGTTTAGGGAAACATTCGCTGTTTACTGTGAGAAACGTAAGGAACACAGATACACTGCGTGGGCAGAATGCAGGGGTTTTAACGTTATGGCAGTGGTAAATGTAGTAACGACTGGGCTTTAAAGGGTTAAATTACACATATAAAAATTAGCTACCCTTATCAAAACATTTGTGTAGGGATGTGTGAGATCATACCTAAATCCTGAATTATTCCGCCTCACACCCAGGTTTATCTGGGATAGGCTCATAACAATGGCACATTTATAGGGGGACCGAAGGGTAAGAAATGCAGAAACCGTGCATCGAGCGTGTCTTGTGCTGCCATGCTCAGGATTTGGTCATGGAATCCAAAATCTACATCTGAACAGGGTGGTACACAGACTTTCACAGCGACTCAACAAAACTTTAAATCTGTAATAACGAGAATAAAGTTGCTAAATGCCAAGAGATGTCACACGCTGTCAGAAACAGCTACTTTTGCAAACGTCGATATTTTCGATAGTTGGCACTCGTAGGGTTACAAATATTCATAAATGGTTAATTTCGTTAAATGCTCGTGAGGCATGGTTTATGTGTTCCTCAGAGCTGCATATCCGTCTGTCTTGACCCTGCCAGTTACAGCTCCTCTGTCAGAACTATGGGCGCCTGGGATACCTGGCCGCCCTTTGAAGTTTCTGCATTCACATCGGCTGATTCGTCTCCAGAAGCCGGGTCATCTAACTCTTCATGGTCCTCCTTCTTGCTAGAAGGTCCCTGTTGTGGAGCAGCTGCGTCCTTAGTCTCCTCTTGGCCGTTCACTTTGATCTCATTGACGGAGAGTGACCGGAAATGATTGCTTTGATTGGGAGAATTGGTCCAAGGTTGAGACGCGTTTGGAGCTGCTGACAGTGACCTGACGTGACATCCGCCACCGCTGTTACCGTTACCTCCACGGCTGCCCGTGAACTGGTCTCGTAATGCCATCTGGTAAGCTACTTCAAAAGCTTGGCCTAACGTGAGAATAACCTCAGTGGCCTGGTCCTGCAACACAAAAGCAACATCTAATAATGCGTGGGATATTCAATGTTTGCAAACTTATTTTGGAAGTTATAACCGACTCAGGGGGATATGTTGTAGTGCAGTTGGTTGAGGCAATACACTAAAAGCCTGAAGGTCACTGGATTTCTCAGTTGACCTATTCTTTCCAGCAGAGCTCAGCACTCAGCCTCTAACAGAAATGAGTACCAGGAACCTTCCTGCGGGGTTAACGGCGGCCGGCGTATAAGGCTGACAAACTCACCGCCATCTGTCAGACGATTGTGTAGAAAATGTGGGAGCCTCGACGTTTCACAGTCCTATGGGCCTCTCGGCGTTTCTACCTTAGTAACATAAAGACGGTTGAAGGAAATATGCTGAAGGTGGTGGAGCACGAATATATTATACAGGATCTAAACGTCCTTAAGGATGCGTCGTTACGAAATGGTGACTCATCAATAAAAAGTCAATAGATTCTGTTTTCAGCACACGTTGAACGGACAGGACTTTCCGCTTTTGTAAGGTTGCCTGCCCAAGATATGACGTATCCTCAGAGATGTTTCAGACAATGAAGAAGGAAAGAAAGATGGAGGAGAAACGTCTGAAGAACATAATGGAGGTCAGAGGAAAGGACTGAAGACGATGAGGATGCTTCTGTCTGGTGCCTTGGTACTGACAGGGATAAGAGGAGGGAAATTTCTTCACCACATCAGAGACTGTCAGCTTCTTAAGCAGGAGCGATCAGTTACTGTGGTGATACATGACATTTTGTTGAGCCGTTGCTGTGGGCGCACGTACCATGGTCTGCACGCAGAACACGTGACAGTAGTGACTCTTACTGCTGTGGTCCTTGGTGATGTACGCGAAGTGCGTCAGGTCGTCAGCGTCTTGGCACGCACAGTGGATGTTGCGTATGTCGTGCTCGCACACCAGCTCCTGAGAACAGAACCGTCAGAACCGGGTTAAACAGCCATCAGAGGCTGGCTGCATGACACCGAAAGCTTTTGCCCGAAATGCAATCTGGTTTTCCTCAGTATGCCAGCAAACGATCCATTTGTTGTCACGGCCCCACTGTTGCCACTATCCGATTGTTACAATGATTCTGTTGGTGTCTCGATCCAGTTTTTACATGACTTCATTACTGTCACAATCCCACTGTTGTCACTATTCAATTACTGTCACAATCCCATTGCAATCACCAGTCCACTACTGTCACAATCGCATTGCTATCACCGACCCACTACTGTCACAATCCCATTGCCATCGCCAGCCCACTACTGTCACAATCCCATTGCTATCACCAGCCCACTACTGTCACAATCCCATTGCCATCGCCAGCCAACTACTGCCACAATCCCTTTGCTATCACCAGCCCACTACTGTCACAATCCAATTGTTATCGCCAGCCAACTACTGTCACAATCCCATTGCCAGCCCACCGCTGCCACAATCCCATTGCTATCACCAGCCCACTACTGTCACAATCGCATTTTTTCTATGCTCCCAGCACCTCCCTTACAGACGAAGTAATGGGGAATTAAGGTGGCCTGGTCTCGAAGCCATACCTATTTTTAGGTGTCTAAAACCTCGTCAGGGAGTCCGCCTACCATTACGCCAAGTCTGGTCGGAAGGGCTGAAGGACGTGGAAATGTATACAGGACGGACGGACGGACAGACAGACAGACAGAGAAGAGATGCTCCGAAACGTAATCACAGGGGTCACGGGAAGACGCGCAGGACCCTACATACCTTGGTGATCGTGTTGAGGAACTTGACGCCCCGGTACGATATGGCCAGTACGATGTCCGGCGTCGACTTGGCGTCTCTGATGGACGACGACTTCTTCAGCTTCTGGATGGACTTCTTGGTTGACTCCGTCCCCCTCAGCTCTTTCACAACAGTGGAGCCCAGGTACTGTGATGGCCAAAATAACATAACACACTTCGCACGTGTACAGTTTAGGCAATAAACAGCAACAGCAGCAGTGTTTCCTGCACTTCATCAAGCACTGGGTATGCGCCCGGTGGTAGCACTGGAAGAGAGGTGGAAGGAAGTGGTCGTGGCATAATCAAGGTTTGGATGGAGGGGCTGAGACAAACCATGAAAACCCTCAGTCAGGATAGCAGGTGTCCCGGTCGAGGTTCGAACCGAGGACCTCCCGACTATAAGTTTAGATCGTTACTCCACAGAGCAGTCTGTTCGGTAAGACGTATGGGGGAATGTAGGCATAGCTCTAGGCATTCTTAACCACAGCAGCAGATGGAGGTGAAAGGGAAATGAGGGTTGAATGCTGTAAGACGAACATAACGTAAAAACATTATTTGCATGATATTATTAGTCGTAACAATTATTTTAATTTAATGATAAGGTAAATATGAAGAGTATGTGACGCCGTGCAGTCCGGTACAAGTTAGCCAACGTTTCGGAGGAACCTACTGCGTCCATCTTCAGGCCACGCAAGCGAGATACGCCCTGTAGAGCTAGGCTCTGAGTGCGTGGCGACTCACTGTTCCTGAATGCTGTACTTACGCTGGCAATGTAGTTGACGGAGCCCGACACGAGGACGCGAGGGCGGTGTCTCCACTGTGTTGTCAACGTGGCGGGAACCCCCACGAGTAGCTCGGAGGGCGCCCTGATTTCCAGGTCACTGTGGCCACCTGACCCGTTTGTTGACATCGGCGGTGGGGGAGCTGGACGAGACTTCTTGTGACTATGTCTCAAGGTCCCCGAGTTGGGAACCGCCGGAAGCTTCTCTCTGATTTCTTCCTTCAGCTGCTGAATGTTTGATTTCTGCGAAAACAGGAAACAGTGTTTCTCCTGAAGATTACTGTCTTCTGGCAAGTGACAACGTGCAGTCTGGTAGCAAGGTACACCGTTTCGGAGCAATTTGCTGCCTCCATCATCAGAATAGAAGAGTAAGCTGCAAGGGTAAACGAAGGTACAGATATAAGAAAGTGAGGAGATGAAATGGGGGATCCAGTCGGTTCGAGTAGACTTGTACGGAGGAGGTACTCGGTTCGAAACTTTGCCGGGGCGTCGGTTACTCTGACTGAGGTTTTCTGTGGTATTTCTTAGTTCTTCCAAACTAATTCCGAGACAATACCTCGATCAGGCCACGACCGCTTCCTTCCAAAGTATTTACAATTCATCCGTCACCCTACCATCTGCAAATACCGACAGCGTGATTAACTCCCCCGCCCCCAATGGGGACTGTGAGCGCGTTGATGCGGGACAGTGGGCCCTAACACGGAGGGGCCAGCATGTGAGGCCGAAGACATGCAAATAAAACGGCACAGAGAGATAGACTTACATTGTATTATACAAATCCATTACGTTAAAGTCAGCATTATGATTATGGTCGTCTGGGATGTAACTCCGTGTAGTCTGGTAGACACGCAAAAACGTTTCGAAGGAGCCTGTTCCTACCATCTTCAGTTTTACACGTTTAAGATGTGAAAATCTACTTTCTCATTCGGTAGCCAACTGCAGAGGTCTTCTGATATGGGACGCAATGTTATGTATTGCCTCTAATTACTGGCCAGGATTCGAAACCACGGTCATCTGCAAGGGGCCTACATGTGTACAGTGTAATTGTTATCATTACACCGCAGAGCCGTGGGGTGTGGGGTTATGGAGGATTGCGTATTTCACGGCTGGACAGACCCTCTGTGTGCTCGGTCTCACACAGACACACACGGGACTGACAGTCCTGGCGAACATGCCTGCTTCAGGAAAAGTCCTCAGCTGTACAGCTCCTACCGATTGACAGGCTCCTTATCAGCAGTGAATTAGAAACAAGTGGGAACAAGTGCTCGTTAACCCCTTCAGAGGTAGAGGAAAACCATTAACCCTTTGACGACTAAATACGTTCTAAGTAGTATACAAAAGTTCAGTTCGTACCTCACAGGAAACACATTACGTCTCCACTACAGAGCCAAACCGGTTAATGCTGTTTAGGGAAACAGTCGCTGTTTACTGTGAGAACCATACGGAACACATAAATGCACTGTGAGAGCAGAACGCAGAGTTTTAGTGTGTTAAAGCAGTTGGTATATATAGTAATCACTCGGTTCTAAAGGGTTAAATATTACAATCACAAGAGCTAGGACCTATCTAGCAACAAGTAACAACATCGCGAATGCCGATATCTTCTAAGCTGACGTTGTCCTATGCTTAATAAATCACACGCCATGAAGATGTGTGGGAAGTGGAGGCATAGTTCCATGTATTCTTAACGTCGTCATTAGATGAAGGTAAGTGGTTAGCGTCATGCTCTGACCGCTTTGATCCAAGGGAAACCTCGTTACAGTCAGATTAGGTGGGCCATACAGACAATCTGGACACTGAGGAAGTGAGTACACTCTGCCTTTACCGGGAATCGAACTCCGATTAGCTGGCGGTCCAGCCGGTAGCCTAGTCATTATACTAACTGAGCTACTTCGGCATTGGTAGTTTCATGCAGAAGTACTGAAACTTGAAGAAAAATTAAATTTTTACATGAATTACTAGAGAATGCTGGAGAGGGGGAGGGGGGGGCAATTTCAGATCAGGAACCAACTCCATTTACTAAAGCACATCTTCAGCCGAAGAGCCCCAGTCTCTGGTTGGACGAATCTACTCCAGAATTAATTGCCTTCTTCAGTACTTTCATTTAATTTACGTACAGTGCAGGTCTCACTGGAGCGCTTGCTAAAAGTACTCGAAGCAGATCACCCAATCACGAAACAGTATCACAGACGGAGAACCCTGGTTCGCTGAATTCATACTTTTCTATGAACGCACCGAGTCCAACGAGGAGAGCCTGTGGTACATCCAGGCGAATAAAGAAATGGCCAGCGCAGAGTCCTCTGGTCAAGTAGGACACATAAACATTTAGGCCTGACTGCGAGGCCAAACACTCAGTACACACACCCACTGCTAGATGGTGTAGGAGTGAGGGGCCTCAAGGTAAGGCCGCGTGTAGTGGCACAGTAATATTCCATTACATGACAAGACACCAAAGAACAGCGAGTGGTCACTGGGTTCCGTTGCCAAACCAGCCGCCACTGTAATGGAGACTTTCAGGATGTCCATACTCGCTTTTCGAAACGAAACTGTTCATATTTTGTGATTATTCTTCAACAAAAATTATGAGGGTTATCAAATGAAGCAGGATGGGACAAGCGAGTCATGTACGCATGAAGAACTTCGTTTGGAAAAGTGAAGACACCACTTTTTAGGGCTTGGTGTAGATGAGAGGATAATGAAATGGATCTTAACCATTAGATAATGGCAGTGGTAAGTATGTGTAACACTTGCTTTAACGTTAAAACACCACACTTTTCCCACGCGGTGTATATATATCTGTCGTAAGATTCTCACAATAATCATACATAAACACACTGTGTGGGCAAACAGCGGAGTTTCTGAACGTTAAAGCGGGCTGCACAACGTAAAGTCCCGAAATGTTCTGATCACACCCAGCACTGGTAGGCGGGAGAATAGCTCGGCCAGTAGCAACTAATTAACCTGTGTTTTGCCGAACAGTGAGGGCTGTAGGAGTAGACTGCTGAAGGGCTGACTAGTACATATGTTATCACATCCCAGGGATAATTATTCCATTCGTGGCAGTTGTAATTGATTGCGAGAGGGACAGCCATATGTACCAGCATTTCACTGGACGCATGGATGAAATTACATAGTTCTGACGGGGTGTGTGGGGTACATTCAAATGCTAGCACGTGTGTGCGGTGCCAGTCCCTGGTCCATTCTCACCCTATGAAGTTCACCTTAATACATATTTACAAGTTCAGTTCGTACCTCACAGGAAACACATTACGTCTCCGCTACAAAGTCCAAGAAGTGTTTGAAGAGTTCTACTTTCTGGGATACAACGGCGTGTAATCAACTTGGAGTCAATCGAAGTTTCAGAGGAGCATATTGCCTCCACCTTGAAGGGTGAAGTGTAAGCCACGAAACCAACAGACAACAAGCCGTTCTTCCGAAACGGCGGTTAAAGGATTAAACAGTGTTATGCCCCAGAAGATAGATCTCTTCATAACCACCGCTGTGAGAACCTCAAAACTTACACGAAAACTAACATTTATATTTCATAATCCTTACATTATTGTGCTGCTCAGACTTTTAGAGGAGAAGTAAGTATACGTACCACACGTTGTAACATGCAAAAACTCTGAATTCTGCCCACACAGTGTATTTACGAGTTACGTATGGGTCTCACAATAAACAGCGATTATTTCCCTACACACCATAAACCGAATGGTAGTTGTTATGAAAACAGTCCTGTGAACTTGGAAATGAATTTTTAAATATTATTTAGATGAACTCCAGTACTCAAAGGGTTAAACGAGGGAGGGTGGGTGTACTCCACACTGGAGTACACACGCATTTGAAACACATGACTGGACTTGAATTTCGTTTTATGTTGACACAAATTTGTTATTGAATATGCAAATTTTCCAACGTGGGGGACACCGCACAGTACCAACAAAATGTTTTGTGTGAAACTCATCTGCAAGGCGCATCGGTTCCTCTCGCCGCAACGTCGGCCCGCGAATCTGCCGCAATCAACGCTGAAAAGAGTTTCAGATTCACTACAAGCAATGGCGAATCGCCATGTATCCCCGCCAATGCTATTCACGAGATATCTCGATTACAAATAAATTGATCACTATGTGCCTCCCTGGAGACACATATCTCAGACAGGGGAAACGGGAAATCATGAGGCACGTGAAGATATGTGATGTAGAGAAGTGGATAATATTAAATGGGTCTTCACCAAACAGGCTGTGAGAATGTGGAGTGGATTCATTTCGCTGAGGACAGCGGCTAAGTACAGCGTAACCAGCGTTCAGGTTATATAAACGGCGAGTGAAGGAGGACATTAATAACTTACCAGGAGATTGAGGTCGGCGTTGATGTCCTCGAGGTTCGGTCCATGGCTTCCGTGAGACTGATGACCGCTGACTGACGTCAGGATCCGCTTCCTGTGTCCGACGCGGTGGATCTCCAGGACAGCCGTCAACTCGACCTCCCATATTCGGCGCACCCTGTCCATGTCAGTGTACAGGTGTTTGCGGAATGTCTCCTTGTAGACGCCCAGTCTGATGCTGTTCAGCCACTGGTCCACAGCAGTTTCCTCCGTCTCCACTGAATCTGTCGCTGTGACCGGTGCCTCCTCCTCGTCGGCGTCGCCACAACGTTCTGAAGACGCCGGATTGTTATTGTTGTTTAGCGCCATGTTCTGCTGCTCATGGACTTTGCACGGCAAACTGCGGGCAGACTCCATGATGGCTTCGCGGTCTCTCTCACTGTCTATACCCATCTCTTTCAGGTCCTCGTCTTCGAGTACTCCGTTCTGAAAGGAAGCAAACTTTATGAAGTGGGTCCCCTCTACCCCATACGTTGTGCAGGCAACCTCACGGAAGGAAAATTCGCGTTTAATTACTGTCACGTGGTAAGTGTAACCATAGACGGGGTTCGGGATGGTGATCGGATTTATTGCACGCTTATGCAACTAGTTATTACAAATAACTACGCCAGTCTCACTGAGTTACACACTCCAAAAATCACTGTCTTCACTAGCCGTTGCTTGGTAGCTGCCTCTAATGGCGGACGTTCCCCTTCGTCTGCGGTCCAGAACTCTCCCCAGCCCCAGCTACCAGCTTCTCGGTTCTCACAACTGCAACTCTCAAATGACTCAACAGTAACTCAAGAGTCAGAGTTACTTTAGTGTTCACAGAGCTGTTCCCTAGCAACAGCTGTTGTACTATCGCCCGTTTTACACAGCTGTTACTGTAACAATATATTTTGCATTTCCCACTAGCGCGTGAATACCACAGGCATGTTCAAAACAGAATCTTAATAATTTTGTACTGATGACGTAGCGATCAAAGTCACTAACTGACGATGACGTATCCTTGTTCCCACACTGGATGGAGTATACCTGTATTCAGACAACCTGTGCAAAACTTCACATGAATATGTACCGCAGGAAAATTAAAAATAAATTGCAGAACTAAAAACCTAATTAAGTGGTTTACTCAGTGGACCTGAGCTCTTCTTGACTAGATAACAAATGATCAACTACTCAACAAATTTCCAGCATCTAGTGTAACCAGAATATTCATTGCCGTGTCTCTAATCTGAGCCAGATGAATCCAGTTTACACACTCCCATCCCACTGCTCTAATATCTGCTTTTAATATTATCCTCCCATCTTCCTATTGGTCTCATTTCTTCAGGTCTTCCCACCGAAACTCTGTTTTCACCTGGCTCTTCTCCCATGCGTGCTACACGCCCTGACCATCCCATCCTACTTGATTTAATAATTCTGATAATAGGAATAACAACTCACAGATTAGAACAGAGGAAACAGTAAGTTTACTAGCAAATCCTCTTGCTCTTGAATGGGTCAGACAGGCACACGGACTGAGGGGCATGTGTTAGCAGGGCGCTGAAGAGAACATGTGGACATAAGGGACACGAAGTGACAGGAGGCTGGAGAAGAGTGCGCAATGATGAGTCAGGAAACCTGAACAGAACAGATATCCTCCAGTTGTTGAAGCTACTCACTATGAACTCCAAGTCATCGAAGCCGTTGTTATGGAACAGGGACTCGTAATCAGCTAGACCGAGCCCAGCCAGCCACTGGCCCACAGACGAGCATCCGGCGCCGCAGTCCGGGGCGGCCACGGGGCTGCCAGTCGCCGACCGATTCATGCCTGCCAAAACAAGGAACAGACGTTACATCAGCACAAGTTCCCAACCTGTGGGAAGCCTCGCGGGGGCTTGTGTGTGTACTTAACGACGCTGATGGTATCTACACTATATAGCTTCCAATGGTAGGATGAGGGATGAATGAATAATTCGAATGAATCTGGAAGGAAGCGGTCGTTGTCTAATTGAAGTTACTATTCCAGCACTTGCCTCAAGGGACTGAGGAAGATCCCGAACTGAACCTCTCTAGAATACAAGTCCAGTGCGTTACCGCTAAGCTATTCTGTTAGATGGCACGCTTCACGAACTCCCTCACTCACTGGGTGTGAGTGTCGGTATAATGTTTCAAATGAGGCCATGACCGCCTGCTTCCATATCCTTTCCAGTTCATTATTAACTAAGCATCTTCTTAACATGAGACGAGTGAGCAACAAGTAGGCACCTCAGGATTACTCACGGCGGTCAGTGCAGCAATCCTCGCTAGCTCTATCATTGTCTCCATACATTGGCCTGGCTACGGGGCCTGGGTGTCGGAGAAGTGACAGGAGGGTGAGAAGGAGCTTCACTCAATATAATTTGGGCGAACAAATAGAGGGTGAGATGGGTAGGGCACGTAGGTCGCACGAGAGGTGATCAAATCAGGGAGCATAACACATACGGGACATGAAGTTGCTTTGAGTAGGTGAAAATGCAAACATTTTGGTGTAAAAACTTCAGTTTACAGACATGGATGGGGCGATAATAGTAAAATGGATGTTATATAAGCACTTTGTGGTGGTGTTGAGTGGATTCACTTGATACGGGATAGAGATGAGTGGGGGAATGTTATGAAACCGGCAACGACACTTGCGGTTCAGAAACTGAAAGCCTATCAGACTACAAAGTATGCACTTGATGACGTTGCTCAGTTACCGGGCGACACATGAATCAACACATAGCACTTTTCTTGTTACCCTGCGATATCCAGGGCCATTGGAACACTGCACACATCTTCAAGCACTCCCTCACTTATGCTATTAATCGCCTGCAGGACCGACACGTTAACACCGACTTCGCAGGTAAGCAGACAGCACAAACACTTGTGTCCTTGTGCACACTCACAGACATGCATCTCAGCTGACGGGCCTACACGTACTTCAGCCTCACATTGCGATCGGGCGAGTCACCGTGTCCTGCAGGTGCTAGGTTCAAACCTCGGCTCCGATACTCGCTATCAGTCTTGGTATTCCTCAGTCTCTCCAGGCAAATAGTATTTCAATTAGGCCACGACCATTTACTTCCAAATCCCTTCCCATTCATCAACCATCCCACCATGCATTACTGACACACATTATTATACTGTGCAATCGGGCAGGGAGGTACATACTGACTTCATCTGCAGTTCTGCCCTGAAGATGGAGGCAGCATGTTCGTTCGAAACGTTGGTACCTACCTACCAGACTATATTATAATCGAGGGTAACAGGATGTCATGAATCCTCACCGTTGTAGTAACCTGAAATCTCAAACCCCTCCTGTCATTTTACCGGCTTATTGGTTGCTAGGAAACCGTGTGACTATATTTCCCACACTTAGGAAGCCTGCATGTTAATTACCGTGTTCACAAGAGCAAACCACTAGTCCCTATCCTGAGCCAGATAAATTCAATCCACGCTGATTTTATAAATCTTCAAGATTCCCATCTACGCCTAGGTCTCGTGAGTGATCTCTTCCTTTCAGGTTAACAACTAAAATTCTGTATTCATGTTTCCCCTTCCCACGCGTGCTACATGATCCGCCCAACTAATCTCCTGTATGCTCGTTCTAACATGTTTTGATGAGGAGTACAAATCAAGAGGTTCGTCATAATCTTTCTCTCTCTAACCTCCCGTCACTTCACCTCTCTTCTCCTCAGGGCCTGTTCATCCCTTAACGTTTGGCACCCACACACAGCAGACAGGGAAACAAAATGTTCGGGAATGACGGGTGGCACGCATCGGCTCTCAACTGCATCGCAACGATTTATTATTTCATTTCCACAAATATTTTCACTTCCCCACATTTAAAAGGCTCCATCAGCTGTCTTCACGACGCGGTCCTTCATTCTGTGGTTCGCCACACAGCGCTGTCAGCAGCTGGGCTACACAGGATGGGACTGGCGATCAATCGTGATTGGAAAGATGAAGGAAGCGATCGTCGCACGATATCATCCCAGCAGATAGCCGAAGCGTCTGAGATAAACCACGAAAACCGCTCAGATAGGATAGCCGGAGTGCCGGCTGAGTTTCGAACTGAGCACCTCTCAGATACAAGTGTACAGCGTCACCGCTACGCCGACCTGATCCACTCAAGCCTTCTGGTGACTATATACGAAGACATATCTCGGTACACGTGATAATATTAAAACAGAAGTATGGCAAACAGAACGGTAAATGAAACCTTACTGACAACTAAACGTGAAGGTGGCTCCATTACATTCACATCTAGGGGGGGACTTCTGCCCCCACAAAAACTATCATTACAATTCGAAAAGCAATTCTGCTCCACTTCACGTCATTAGTGTGATAGGAAACACACAGGATGCCGGCTGGAGGACCAGCATGCAGCATGGGAACTCGAACGCTTTTAATTAAAAGATCCTGTAGCGACTGTTTCCCTAAACAGCATTAACCGGTTGGGCTCTGTAGCGTAGACGTAATGTGTTTCCTGTGAGGTACGGATTGATTGCTATATATTCTGCCCACACAGTGTGTCTGTGTGTTCTCTATGGTTCTCACAGTAAACAGCGACTGTTTCCCTAAACAGCATTAACCGGTTGGGCTCTGTAGCGGAGACGTAATGTGTTTCCTGTGAGGTACGGACTGAATATTCTTCAGCATTTACAGATCAGGCCCTCTGGCCAGTTCCGATTCAGAATTAGCTTCTGAAATACGGACCGCATGAAGAATCAGCAGGAACTTCTCGAAAGGGGGAGCGGTCCATCCCAAAATGAGATAGGAATTTAATTTTTAAATACTATTTCTGATACGTATGCACTCACCTAGACGGGTCTGGAACTCCTTCTCCAACTCACTGACAAACACAGACTCCCGAACGAGTCCAGTGCCGAAAGACGCCATGATCTCGGATATTTTGGCCCACTCTTCCTGTTCATCGAAAGGACTCAGGATAGAGAGAGACTGGCCCTTGTCAATGCCGGGTCCCGAACCGGGGCCACTTCCTCCGCTCCGGGAACCAGAGCCGGAGGGCCTCTTGGGGACAAACTCTTCGCCGTCATCCACCTTCCCAGCCGACCCGTTCGGCCCTGACGATGTGTCATAGGCATTCTTCAGACGTCGCAAGGTTTTGGGCCGTTCTGCAGGGGACGACCGGGATCCGGTCTCAAGACCCTGAGTTGTTGACCCCTTGAACAGACCTGCAAGAAAACACACACGAAGCCATTACTCATACTGTTTACAGCTTATATACCCAAGTCTAGTCAACCAGACTCAGGAACTTTTCAGAGCGATGCAGGGAAGCACACGGCATACCGTAACTCAAAGACGCATGTCCAAGGGCGAGATGGGTAGGGCATGTAATACATATGTGCGTGATGAAAATTAATTGATGGGAGGGGGGACCCTGACGAGATTCCCAGTCATTACTGCTCACAAGAGCACGCCCCTGGACGCATTCCTGAGTCACACGAATTCAACCAGCGTTCTCTTATCCGATAAAATAAAATCAATTCTAATATTATCCTTCCATCTACATTCAGACCTCATAAGTGATCTCTTCAACTCAGATTATCATGGCAAAAATCGTGGAACTTCATTTCTTATCTCAAATAGACCTATGCGTGTTACACGTGCCGCCCATCTCATTCTCATTGATTAAATAATCCTAACAATATTTGGCGAAGAGTACAAATTATGAAGCTCCTCAATATGTAATTTTCTCCAGCCTCCTGTCACTTCCAAATATTCCCCTCAGTATCCTGTTCACGAACTATGTTCTCCCCTCACCCCTTAGGCCCTGAAAGCGCGAACTTAAAACCACAAACGTTTTTGTGGGTTATTGTGCAACACTGTCAGCGTCTTGTCTCCACACATTCGGGCGGTACGATAAGCGATTAAGAATGAATTGGAAAGTATTTGGAAGGAGGCGGTCGTAGCATGATGGGCGTTTGTCTGAAGTGCCTGAGGAAACCAGTCAGAGCAGCCGTGTCCGGCTGGATCACAATGCTTCCGTATATTTTCATTTGCAGGCTCATACAAACATTTCTGTCAATAAGGTGAAGGGGGCAGCGCGGTGAGGGGGAGCAACATTTAATTTACAGAAACTCGCAGAGCCGAGGGTAAATACAGCCAGGCTCCATGTTTCCATTAGTAATTGTCTACTCGCGTCTGCAACGGAAGAGCAACATAAAAATGTACACAGGTGAGGGCTGCACGCAACACCAGGCCAAGTGGCCTCGACCTCACACGCGGGCACATGTCCACATCACGGCATTCAGGGATGTGACGCCGTGTAGTCTGCTCGCCTTTACAAACAGCTTTCTTTCCTCTCTGCCTCCCCCGCCTTCCTTCCCCCCCTTCTCTTTTCTTTTCCTTCAACATATTTTTTCCTTATTTATTTACTTAAAATGAACATGCTATTTGTATTTTAACTAACTTAACAGCGCTCAATCTTTCTTCAGAAACTAACAGTTGCTCAGGTACTCAAGAAATTGCCAGCATTTTATGCAACCCGAAAGTTCATTACCGTGTTCACAAGAGCCCGCCGCTGGTCCCTACCCTGAGCCACATGAATAATCCACACCCTCGCATCCTATTGCTTCAAGATCCACTTTAATATTATCCTCCCATCTACGCCTAGATCTTGTTAGTAGTCTCTTGCTTACATGTTTTCCTACCAGAAAATTGCGTATGTCTCCCGTGTGTGCTGTATGAGCTGCCAATCTAGCTATCCTTGAGCTGATCACTCGAATAGGGTTTGGCGATGAGACGGAGTCAACAGAGAGCACATGTTGCGATAACATTGCCTCACGATCTGCTAGCGGGACGCTGTTTCGGTTCCAGTCTGGACCGTGCCGCAACAGAGGGCAGAGCAGAGCACGAACATGAACTCTGGGGGCTCTCGCCACGACAACCTGCAAAGCTTACCCCACAAACTGACTAGGAAACATCTAGTGAAAACATTGCGGAGGAAAAGCCATTGTTGAGAGCTATTACCAAGCATCGACTAGTGAAAGCAGACTGAGAAGACATCGTGGAGTGATTTTAATGTGTAAATCAGCGATAGTGCTATACGTATTTGTAGTTGTGACCTGTAAGTGGTCAATAAATCTATTCTCCAATCTGCACCATGTCTATAGTCGCCAATAAATCGCGAGACTTCAGTATTTCGATCTTCGATTCCTTTACTGACAGTAACCACGGAACCTGCACTGGAGGCTAACGTGACTGCATGTTTAATGTGCACAAATTAACCAACTGAAGTGCTAATTACTGAGTACATATGTACGCTGCCAAGGAGCTCACTCTGCTACTCGCTCGCAACACGTCTGAGAAGTGTTGACAGTGCTCGGGGTACGATCCACCATTAAATGACCATCTGTCATATGAAGAAGTTATCAGCACCGAATTCAGAACTGTGTTTGCGAAACCTCACAAAAATAACCGCTTGAAACATTTAGAACGGGATGATAACATTAATGTACATAGGTTTTCTAGGACTCTTGACGTCCGTACTTCGCTTAGGACCTATTAGGTGCCTCCCCACGAACGAGGACAGAAGCGGATCCAGTGGTGTAACAAATGTAAATATTTCTTTTCATTGCTAGTGGGGTGGGACTAAGTGCCTTGTACTGCGGCCACTTCTGGCCTACTGTACCAGCCCCAGATGATATGTGGAGCAATTGGTGGAATGAAGATTGGCAGGGGAAACAGAAGTACTCGGAGAAAACCTGCCCCAGCGCCACTTTTTCCACAAATCCCACTTGACCAAACCTGGGATCGAACCCGGGCCGCCGCGGTGGGAAGCCAGAGACTAACTGCTTGAGCTATGGCGCGGCCTTACAAATGTAAATATGTGCTTGTAGTTCAGCGCCGAGCCATGAAGATGGATGGGGAGCGGAGGTATAGCTCCACGAATTCTAAACCTCGGCACTATATTGACGTGAACGATTAGACTCACGCTCCGGTAGCCACTGTAGGGCTCCAGACGCGGTGCCGATGGCTGACGCTGCTTTTGGAGTATGCAGCGCCGAATTATGGGATCAGTGAACGATGAATTGAAAGAATCTGAAAGGAAGCGGGAATGCACGTGAGTGGAGGGGCTAAATACCACTCACTCTCCCGTGACGTAAGGTAAAGGTGTCCCTGTGCTTAACTAATTAAGCACTGCTCCATGAAGGTGAATGGGGAAGTGGCTGTATAGATCCACATTTTCTTGTCCCGGCGCTAGCTGGAGGTGAGTAATCAGCTTCACGCCCCTGCTGTTTTACCCCCGGTACCCATTGGATAGGAGGCTGAGTCAGACCCAGCAGGTAAACCTATCTTACCGTGAGTGTCAGTGAGCGCTTCCTGCTGCTCTGCCCCTGACAGCAACTCTGGAGAACTTCCTCGTTTTTGTGAACCGATATGACCGTTTTGCTTTCTGGGAAAACAGCAAGCAGGGGTGCAATGCTGGGTTACTTAGACCACTCGTGCACCGAAGCGCATGTGGTACAGTTGTATGTGATTTGTATAGTTTGCTCACCGTACGGTACAGGACACTCGTGCGCTTGTTTTAATTTATTAATTTTCTCTAACTCTTAGTGTTATAACCGGCCGGACGAGGTTAATTCATACTGTCATTTTAATTAAAATGCATCCACACTGCGTTGCTACCAGAGACCCGCGCCATGTTCACCATACGCCGTTCTGCAGGCAGTGTTATTATCAGATTCGCTTTCTTGTCGCCACGTGACTTCATCTCACGCTTAAACACTTGAAGCCTGCAGGGAGAGAGAGAGAGAAGGGGAGTGAGACATTACAATTTACGCGGGGGACAGACAGAAAATTGCCTCCTACAGGGTTCGAGGTTCTCACACCGGTGGTTACGAAGACTTCTTCTATTTCCTGGGATATGACGCCGAGCAGTTTTTTGAAAGTCAACAGACGTTTCGGAGGAGCATGTCGCCTCCATCTTCAGGGTTTCTGCTACCTAACTGCTTCATGCTGGTTTCTTGCTTGGCTTATTCTTCGACAATGAAGATGGAGGCGACATGTTCCTCCGAAACGTCGGTTACCTTTCCACTGACTATACGGCGTTATATCCCACAAGATAGAACTCTTCAGAAAACTACCTGCTCTAAAGGTTCCCTGACAGTGCCCTCTCATCATTCTGGTAAAGTTGTACAGAACAGAGGGTGAATCGTTGGGATGTGAAGACGGTAAAATGATTGAAAGCGGTATGCCTTGTCGCTATGCAGCAAGTGGAATCAGATGAGTATAGGCTTTACTCAGATGGAATTCTAACGCCGCCGTTGGGAGCACTGAATTGCGGTGAAATTTTAATTTCATATTTCAAAGGTTATATTAGGCGGAACTTTCATGTTACAAGTGGGAGGGCTGCGTGTGAAGCAAGCAGTGTAACGTAGAGTTTGGGTACCAACTCAGCATTTGCTCTCGGACTGAGGAAAACCACGGATGAAACCTTAGAAAAGTAACGCAGAAATTCAGATATATACAGGTAACATCTGAAACTTCAATTTCTTTCTCACAGGAAACGCACTTCCTGTCCATTACAAAGACCCATCGGTGAATGTTGCTTCGAGATGTCTCTTGTTTATTGTGAGAACCATACGGAACACACAGATACACTGCGTGGGCAGAATATATAGCAATGCAGTCTGTACCTCACAGGAAACACATTACGTCTCCGCTACAGAGCCCAGCCGATTAATGCTGTCTAGGGAAACAGTCGCTGTTTATTGTGAGAACCGTACGGAACACACAGATACACTGCGTGGGCAGAATATATATCAATTCAGTCCGTACCTCACAGGAAACACATTACGTCTCCGCTACGGAGCCCAACCGGTTAATGCTGTTTATTGTGAGAACCACAGATACACTGTGTGGGCGAAGTTAGTACCTGCGGTACACGTAATTATCAAAATAATGAAAGAGTGACTGCATCTTCCGACTGGCAACAAACCAGGAGAGGCTGCTCCTGTTGAACTGTACTGAGAACTGCAGGCAACTGCTGTTCTCTGTCGTGTTACTTAGACGACTCTACTTCCCAGCAACACACAGAACTGCCAACAATATAGTTGTTAGCGTCTCCATTACGGCGACCTGCCCTCTGGTTACAGGAAGGCGCGTCGTGTATGAAAAACAGAGTCATGATGTGAACAGTCAAAAGACGGGTTCACAGCTGTCACGCTAT